TTTTTATTTTTATTTTTTGTTTGTTAAAAATTCCTTAAAACTGAATTTTTCATTTGATAGTAATATACTAGAAACAAATTTGTTGTTATATAAACTCGGTTTATTTCGTTTGACTTTTGGATCAATTTAATGCAATTTCAATTTTCAATTAAATTTCAATTTAGTTTGACAATCAATTAAGCTTTCTGACTAGACTTGAGTTTCACTTCTGTTTTTACGAATAGTTTGAGCAATGACAAATTCAATGAGCATCAAATCTTGAGCTAAGCCAACAACGAATGCTCGTTTTTATTTGAGTCTCACATTGACACTCAAAGACCTCTAATTATATTGCAAGAATCATCTATAGAGGAAAATCCAAACACTCTTATCCTAATCATCATATATCACCCCTTCAATTATCTTTAGTTATGGCCATTGGCTCAACTGTTTATAAAACTCTTTAAGTCCTCAAATTCCCTTTATATAAAATTGAAAATTTTTTCCAGTTTTTAATAACTCTTTGCCCCCACAAAATTCAATTTTAGCTCTTATACATTTCACTTGAATACCCTCTAGACAAAGCTTAACTAAACAAGGTGAAATTAAACATGAAAAGCAAATTGAAAACAAAAAATTCCAAATATATTTATGAAATATTTTTTTTAATTTTCCCCTACTCTAATCCAACTGCATCGCTGCAGTGCCCAAAAAATAAGTTACAGAGATTTACCCACAACAATAATGAAACGAGAGAAAGAAAATCCAACAAAAAATAGAGCGTAGAACACATATTTTAGATGTACGTCAGAATAAAATGTAAGAAATTGAAAATAAAATACAAAAATAATAAAAACGAAAGAAAAACGTAAATAAACGCAATTGGGTGGGAAAAGGAGAGATCAGAGCGAAGTGACGGTAAATTTGTAATTGAAACGGGATTTCGGGAAGCAAAGCAGTTGGCAGCACCGCCGGATGGGCCCAGTGATGATGCGACCCTGGTCGGCAGCTGTCAAAGAGGCGAGGACGAGAAGAGAAGTAAACAAAAGCTCAAAAAGGCAAGCAAATGCGAGCAAACGCGAAGAAAACGAACCCACAGCGATTTATATGTCAGCTGGCCCAAACCGAAACCGCTCGTCAGGGGGCAGGCACTACTGTCAAATAGAAAGGGACCGGGTCCGATTCTGAAAAACAGACGCAGATAGCGACGCGCATGAAAAAGCAAATTCGTTGAAATTTATAAACGCGATAATCGAATCAACTACACACACACACAAAAAAAAAGCAAGAAACAAAAGAGAAAAAGAGAGAAAAAAAAGCCGTAAAATCAGAGCCGCAACTTTGAATTCCAATTGATTTCTAGCCAAGATCCTCATCCAAGAACTTTATTCTTCATGGAGCGCACCGCAGTGCCACGAGGCAAACGACCCAGAGTTCAGGTCTCCATGGACGACAAGGAGCGCGCCATCGCTCGCATACGCAATGGTGAGACGAAGGCGGGCATCTCACGCGAGCTGGGCGTGCCGGAGTCGACGGTGCGCGGGTGGGTGAAGCGAGCCGATCAGCGCATGGCGCGCGAAGCGAACGAAGGTAAGAGAGAGAGAGAGAGAGAGAGAGAGATATATATCCTATATACCCCATTTTCCCATATATATGTATATTTGGCTAGGCTCTGCCACTCCGTCGCCGCCCTTGATGATGACGCACTCCCTGAAGCTGCCCGCCAAGCGGGACTCCAATGGGCAGCCGCGCACCCGCTCCGCGGGGCCCATGAACGTGGCCGTGCCGCTGCCCATGCAGCTCTTCCAGCAGGCAGCCAACAGCCAGCTGCAGCTGAACGGCTGGCTGCACATCTTCAATGCGGGCATTCTCAACTTTACGCTGATTGCCACCGCCGCCTATTTGAGGGCGCGCGTGCGCGGCACCACGGATCGCCAGTCGCTCTGGCAGATCATCTGCGAGTATGTGGACGAGGCTGGGCGCAATGTGGCCGCCAATGGGGGGCAGTATGTGGCAGCAGGAGCAGCAGCAGGAGCAACAGCAATGCCACCAGCAGCAGCAGCAGCAACAACAACAGCTGCAACAGACTCATTCAGTCGTAAGCCTAGCCCATCGCCGGCCATGGGACGCAGTGGCGGCTTTGTGGCGCCACGACTGCACATCACGGCCGAGGATGACGAGGATGCCGAGCTGGAGCCGAGTCCATGACAACCGCATCGATTCGATTTATGTACATGTATATGCAAATAAAGCGCCCGTCAATGGGATTATGTTGTTTAAAGCAAATAATTGCATTTTAATTAGCAGCGAAATAAGTGCGATAATTGGCTCCCAGATCTGAGTCCAGTTAAACCCATGCAAATTTCCAATTGAAATTGTAGTTGTTGTTGTTGTATATTTCCATTGTTGTTATCCTGTCGTGTTCTCTCACCCTCACCCTCTCTCTCTCTCTGTCTCCGGTCAGAGTCACGTAATTAAGCGGTTTTATTTGCGGCTTTGCCACACATTAATTGCGTATGTTAAATGTAAAATTTATTTAGTACGCCAACAAAAAATGTAAAGAATTCACAATTTTTATATATTTTCTGTTTTTTTTTTGTGTTTTTTTTTTTTATTCATTCACATTTGCATTTTTAGTTGCAGCTCGCAGTTCGCTTGACTGCGGATTAAACATGAATTCGTTTTAGTTTTTATCAAAGTTTTATTGGTTTTTTTTTCTTAATTTCTTTTTGTTCTCTTGCACAATTAAATATGAGCGAAAAAAATTAAAAGTATTTCAGTGTCAGAATATATTAATTTTATAGAATTCATATGCCATTATTATGTGTAATTAATTGAGCCTGTCGGCAGCTCTAGCAAATCGATTTATAAATAGTTTAGAGCATGTAACTGACTTTACAGTCAAATATAGGAATATAGATTCGTATTCCTATTCCCTAATAGAGGTTTGAGTAATTGCTCAACTAGAAAATTCGTTATATAGATATATATATATAATATAAGT